GTTGGACATATATATGTTGGATATATGTTGATGCATGTATGTATGTTCGTTGGATGTATGTTGGATGCATATATTTTGGATGTATGTTGGATGTACAGTATGTTGGATGTACCTTGATGTATGTATGTTGGATGTACCTTGATGTATGTATGTTGGATGTATGTTGGATGGATGAATCTCTGAGTTCTGATTGTTTTTTGTTTCAGGGAAACGAGGCTAAAGCAGGAAGTCCAGGAATGAAAGGATCTCAGGTGAGACTGTTGATGCTCAGTTGAAAACAATTAATCTGACAGATTTTTTGTAATCTGATTAACATTTGGTGGAAATTTGTTCAATTCTAAAAACTCATTTATTCTTTCTAAGCTGTCAGAAGATGACTCAGTTTTAAAGAATTCAGTTTTTGTAGATCTACTGGTAATTAGAATTTTTTTTGTCTCCAGGGAATTCTAGGGGTACCAGGTTTTCCAGGATCACCAGGCCTGCCTGTGAGTACCCAAACCCAAGATCCAAACAAGATCAAGCTGGTTTAGTTTCTCAGTCAACCAGGATTCAGTAATCCTAACAGATCAGCTTAAAGGTACCATAGTTCTTCGAGGAGGTGGTTAGCTTAGAGACAATGGTGGCGCATGTAGTTGAAGCGATTCAGAACATTTCCTTTTAGTGCTTTTATTTTGTGTGCTTTTTTGTGTTATTTCTGTTTGTGATCATGTTGTTCTGTTTGGCAAACAAAATCTCCAGCCAGCACAAGTTTGCTGTGAGTGGAAACAGCAGTTTTCTCTGCTCACACTACATTCCAGTGAACAGTGCAAGGAACTTCCATGGATCACCATCTCGGTGGGTAGACGCTAGGCGGTGAAGATGGGCAAGAAGTGGAATAAAAAGCAGCGCTGCAAGGCCACAGGGCCGACACACTGGAGACATTATGGAGGAGGCTGCACAAACCCAGACATTTGCATTGTAGCTTTAGCAAGCAGCAGAACGCTCATCCTGGCACTCTGATCATTGCAACAGGAGGCAACAACCATGTAGATTTGAAAACATCAGTCCCTAAATTTCCACGGTGTGTCACCAAGGGAGCCAACACACTGGATGAGGTCTACATAAACATCGAAAAGGGTATCAGACCTAAGCCATTACCTCATCTGGCTCAATCAGACCATTTGTCACTACATGTAATCCCTGCATAAACCACACTCAGGAAAACTGTTTCACTGTTTCAAAGACTATTAAAGCCTGGCCAGATGGAACCTCTCAACAGCCTCAGGACTGTATTGATAGGACCAAATGTAAGATTTTTGACCATCCAAACTGACTAAAGCTATTCATAAAGCCACGTCAGACTTCAAGTGGACTACCAAGGCCCATCTAGACAGCAACAACAGCAAGCAGGTGTTGGAAGGAGTCCAGCACATCACCAACTACAAGACCGGCCTTGAAGGTGCCAAATGCAATGCCTCATTTGCAGAAGATTTGAACTTCTTCTTTAACTGCTTTGAAGAGAAATTCCAGGCAGCCATACCATAATAGACGAACGACAAGAACGCCATCTTTAAGGTGAAAGAGTGTGACGTGTGGTGCACACCATGGGCGGTCATCTCGGGACGGCAGCTGGATTGGACGGGATCCATGGGCAAGGACTGAAGGATTGTGCTTACCAGCTGGCAGAGGTCTTTACTGGAATCATTCACCAGTCCCTGGCCCAGACTACTGTACCACTCTGCTTGAGGTCCTTTATCATAGTCCTCTTGCCTTAGAACTCCACCATGACCAACCTTAATGTCTGCCAGCCAGTAGCACTCACTCCTGTTTTGATGCTTCTTTGAGAAATGGTTCTGTTGTCACATCATGTCATTCAAACCATCCACCTTCGACCCACATCAGTTTGCATGCATGGCTATTAGATCTACTACGAACACGGTAGCTACAGCTCTGCATGCTGCGTTGTCCCATCTGGAGCAGAGAGGAACAATGCGTAGCTACTTTTTATTGACTCTAGCTCTGATTTTAATACATCCTCCCAAGTTACTCCAACTGTGATTGGGTCATGGACTTTCTGTTGAACAGTTCTCAATTCAATTAACTTAATTTAATTTAATTCATCCATTCATTATCTTTACCCACTTCTTCCCTTTTGGTTCGTGGGGGTCACTGGTGCCCATATCCATCATTTACAGTGCGAGAGGCGGGGGAAACCCTGGACAGGTTGCAAGCTCAAGTCAAGTCAATTCAAATTATTTATAAAAGGCAAATTCTCAGCAAATGTTGTCTTAGGGAACTGTAAAGAAACATTCATATGCATTATAAAATGCCATTTAGTAAAAGTTATCTACAGAAGCCGGCAGATTGGATCACACATCCTCAGCAACTGGCCTCAGCACTGGGTCTCCACAGGAGGGGGTAATGTGTCTACAAAAGTTCAGACCTTTTCAGAGTAACATTTTATACATTCAGAAGATATTGAATTTAAACAATAAACTTACAAAAATAAATTTATGCAAGTGATTGCAAAAAAGTTAATAAATAAATAAATCAGGGAAGACCAAAAAATGTTTAAGCCTAGCAATAAATTATAAATATTATGTGGATTATAATTATAAATTATATGTGGAATTTTAGGTCAACAAACATCCTAAATATTTTCCCAGAAAGCAAAGTGTCAGATTCTCAGAAATTAGATTTTAAAGCAGAAACAGCAGTCACAAACTTTAATTGTTTCATTATTTTGCAGGGAATCCCTGGAAATGAAGGACCAATCGGCCGACCTGGAGTCCCAGGATGCAACGGGACAAAAGTAAGATTTAATTTAATTTCAGACTTTTTTCTAAATGTTATAAATATTTAAACGCAGCAGTGAGACAGATAAAATATCCAAACTAAACCTCTGACCAGCTGTTGGAGATTTACAACTAATTACCATAACTCACTCATTGACAGTTTTTTTTTTTTCAGAATTTTTGTGATTAGCTGCTAACTCTGTTAGTTTAAACAACAGAAAGTTGGTTTTAGACACAACCAAACAAGATAGCCTCTGCTGTACCAGGTCAGACAGGAGGTCACACGGACTGTGGTGTTTGCAGATGACATCTGTAGTGGTAGTAGGGAGCAAGTGGAAGAGAGTCTGGAGAGGTGGAGGTATGCTCTGGAGAAAAGATGAAATGCTGAATCCATGTGTGTAGGTAGGTAGGTAGGTAGATGGATAGATAGATAGATAGATAGATAGATAGATAGATAGATAGATAGATAGATAGATAGATAGATAGATAGATAGATAGATAGATAGATAGATAGATACTCATGATGATGAGACTGCCACTCAAGTCTGCGCTGGAAGCGGGAAAGAGAGGGGGACACGTGGAACAGTAAAGTTGAGAGGAGAAGAGGTTCTGAAGGTGGACGAGTTCAAGTTTCTGGGGTCAACCATCCACAGCATCGATCAGACCACCAGAAAGGTGAAGAAGAGCAGCAGGGTGGAGTAGACGGAGACGAGTGTCAGGGTGGATTTGTGACTAAAGGACAGCGGCAGGAGCTTTACAGGATGGTATAAAGATGTTCTGTGATGTTTTGTTTAGAGATGATGAAAAAGAAAAAACAGGAGGTCTTCAAGAGCAGTTTGACTTTTCACCAATAAAAGTCATTAAATCAAGTTTCACATGGAGATATACCTTGTTATCATCTGCATAGAAGTCAACAAAGTTTCTTGGTAAAGGGCCTCATTCACCCCCAGGTATGATTCAGTCAGGTTTTATAAGACAGTTGTGTCTTCAGATCAGATTTCTTGATGTAATTTTAGTTGGTGACCATCAGTGGATGCCAAACTTTCAGTTTCCAGATAGTTTTTATTTATTTATACCAATTATAAAACCATTTGACTTCATCCAAAGACAATAAAGTGACTGCTGTCTTCTAGGGGGATGATGGTTTTCCAGGTTACCCTGGGCTTCGAGGACCAGTTGGCAGACGAGTAAGTTACCTGTTGATTTCATTTGAGCTAAAATTATCGGTACCTTTTTTGTTTTTGAGACTGAATCTAATGTTTGTGTGTTTAGGGTGATGAGGGACCTCGAGGGATAGAGGTATGTATTGTTCAACACTGGGAAGTACTGGGCCTCACCTGCTGTGGGCTGTTGTTTACTGAATATTCTTAAATCTCATTTGGATTTCAGGGAGACACATTGTTTTACCCCGTTCAGCAGGAAATTAAAGGCGAAACAGGACCACAAGGGCCATATGGAGAAACGGTTACACATTTTATTTTTCACAGCAAATGAAACATTTCCCGGTTGTTATCTGAAAACATGTCAGAATACATTTTAGCATCACGGTCAGAAGTTTTCTTTAAAAACAATCCCCACTGTATAAAACTGTGACAAGAATACTGCAACGCAAACTGAAATAAAAAATATATTTAAAATGTTATTTCCATACAAAGATGCTCACAAAATGAAATTTGAAGGTTGCCTTCAAATGTAAAATGTTGTTTAATGGTGTATACTTTCCTCTGACTGAATTGTTGGTCCATTTCAGGGTTCAAGCGGAGATCCTGGAGAAACAGGCCAACCAGGACCTCCAGGACCTCCTGGACTTCCTGTGAGTTTTGAATTTAAAACTTTATTGTTTCATTCAAATATTTATTGTATTCAGAGAATCAGTCAACCGACTTCTGCTTTTTCTTGCCAGGGAAGACCAGGGGTGTCAGGAATCCATGGAGAAAAGGTCTCTGTGATTACAGGCTGAACATGAACAGATTTTATTTTCTGATAGTTGCCGGGTTTTTCAATAAAAAAAAAAAAAAAAAAAAGATTATATTTAATTTATTTTTTCAAATTGGATTCTGTGTTACTGTGAATAAAACAGATCTGTGAAACCAAAAGTAACAACTTTATCCCATTTAAACATTTTCTAGTTAGTTAAACTATTATATAAGTGAAACAGAATGTTTATTATTTTGGTGATATGAGCACAAGTCCACCATCTGAGACCATTGGAGGGGTAAGTATAGACCTAAATCCACTGCCTGAGCCCATTGATGGTTCAGTTATAGACAAGTCCACCTTCTAAGGCCATTGGTGTGTGGGAGAGGGGTGGGGGATCAGTAGACATATCCACTGTTCATAGCCATTGGAGATTCAGTTATAGATATACGTTTGTCCATGGCCAGAGGCCGTTAGGGGTGTCAATTATAGACACATGTCCACTGTCTGAGGCCACTGGGAGTTTAATTATAGACATATCCACTGTTCAATCATGGATATTTGTATATATGGATATATGTCCACTGTCTGAGGCCATTAGGGATGTCAGTTATAGACATAGCCACTATTCAAGGCCATTGGGTGTTCAGTTATAGACATATGTCCACCATTCTGAGGCCATTGGGGGTTCAGTTATAGATACAAGTCCACTGTCTAAGACCTTTGGGGGTGTCGGTTATAGACATAGCCACTGTTCAAGGCCATTGGGTGTTCAGTTATAGACACATGTCCACCATTCTGAGGCCAATGGGGGTTTAGTTATAGACACAAGTCCACTGTCTGAGGCCATATGAATATCATCAGTTACTTTTACCAGTGCTCTTTCTATAATATGATGAGCTCTAAACCCTGACTCAAACATTCCTAATGTCTCTGTAAGCTGTTAAACAACAATGGTTTGAATAATTTTAAATGAAGGGTAGTTCAGATACAGTCCTGGGACTGTCTCCTTGAATGGTGGATTTTGTGCTCTGTAACCACCATGAGAGGGTTTTGAAAACGTTATTTAGAAATTAGTCTAAAATCAAAATGAACTCGTTTGATGGACTGATTCTTTTCTGGATCATGTGATTTTAGTCTGTAATCACTCATTGTTTCAGGGTCAAGAAGGCCCCAGTCCAACCAGCCCTGGTCCACAAGGACAAAAGGTGAGCATAGCCAGTCAGCTATTAAACTGATGGGACTGCAAGCACTGATGTGGGCCAATATCAAGGACGTTTTCCTCATCTGCTACCCATCATCATCGTCTCCATCCATGCCATTAGTTGTGTTTGATTCTTAGGGTGACCGTGGACCCCCAGGGATCCCAGGAAAGAAAGGCATCAAACTTTATGCTGAAGGACCCAAAGAACTGAAGGTCCAGCTGATTTTGTGATCGTGTTATTATCTCTGTCTCATTCTGTCCCTCTTCTCAAATCTTTGGTTTTGTCTTTCAGGGAGAACCGGGTGAAATTGGTCAAAAAGGTTGTTCTGGAGCTTTTGTAAGTCAAACTGTCTACTAGAATTATGAACTATTTGATATCACGTTGTCAGCCTCGTGTGCTGGTTTTCATCTCTAGGGTGTGCCGGGGAAACCTGGGGCCAAAGGAGAGAAAGGTGATAGAGGCGACTTTGGCTCACTGGTGAGAGATAAATATGTGAAACAAGAAATCTTTAACTCTGAGGTTGGCAACTGGTCTAACGGCTTGTCTGTGTTGTAGGGTAAACCAGGGAAGAAAGGATTACAAGGAAGGAATGGAGCGCAGGTACTTGCATACAGTGATCATGCTTACTCTAGCAACAGAGTCTTCGAGTACTGTAGGTATACTTTACCTACACCAGGACTCTGATGTCTGCACTACGTCCATATCTGCACAAGTTTACCCATCCTGTCTTACGTTGTATGCGACCTGCAATCCTCTCTCTTTTTGAAATGGTGTATTGCCTTTATTGTATTAGTAGGATGTTCAAGTCCAACCAGTAGAGGAATGTGGCCTCATATCATTTTGTTTTTGTATCACTCATTTATGGTTGAAATTACAGCAAATTGATTTGTTATTCCAGCATGGTGGTTCCTAAAACTGAGGTTGGGGACCAAATTGAAAATTATATAAGAACAATTTGTGAATCCTGAAAAGATATTTAGAAATAACATAACATTTCTAAATCCTTGCTAACAACATATTTTTCCAATAACTCTTACAAAAGACTAAGAAAATGTACTATAAGTAGAAGGGAATGAAAGTAGTCCAAGGTCATTAAGGCTTTGTTTATATTTGTCCAATTGATTGTCAAACCTTGGATTCAGGAGGAGGAGTGTGGCTTTAGTCCTGATCCTGGAACAGATCTTTACCCTTGTAAGGGAGTCATGGGAGTTTGACTCTCCAGTGTACTGGAGAGTACTGGAGACTCTCCAGTACACTGGGGAGTCAAACTAATGTGTTTTGTGGACCTGGGTGTTACGTTTCTTGTGTTTTGAGCCCATTTGCAGGAAGGACTCAGAGAAAACAGGTCTTAGAAATGAATATATATTTAATATGGGGAGTGGTGGCGCAGAGGTTAGAGAGGTGGGCTTGTGATCCGAAGATCGCCGGTTCACGCCCCGACAACATCAAAACTTGTGGGTGGGGTAGGTGAAACACCCACACTTGCCCCTACCCTCATTCGCCCCACTCTGGGCCCATGAGCAAGGCCCTTAACCCCCACCATGTGCTCTCTAAACAGGTCTCTCTTGAAAATGATTTCTCGTGGCTCAATGAGACTAACCTGGATAAATAAAGGCTAAAT